AAGGTCCTTTGAATTAACTTGTGTTTCAGTTATAAAAAGAAACTTTAAAACACTCGATCAATTTCAAGCTGTCATTTTCAGAGAACCAAATGCAAAGAGAGGGAACTATTTCTGAAGAATCGTACCGAGGATTTAAATTCATCACTGGTATCATCACCAAGCTTGCTGCTCTTTAGGGTCAAGCTCATCTTTCCTGCCAGCCCTGGACAGAACACCCCAGGGGCTAAAGCTGCTTAATGCCCAACAGGGCACGTCCCACAGAGGTAGGACTGCTCCAGCTAAACTCAATCAGGTCTCAGAAGGGAACATCCGAGTTTCTTCTTCCCAAGGCTAAAGCCAATAAGGCAAGGAAGGGTTTGGCAGTGCCAAGGATTGGATGCCACCCTTTGGAAAGCAGGCTCTGTAAAACTCAGAGTGCCCTTGCTGGGACTCTGCAGTCCCTAAATTGCTGCTGGCAATGGGGAACATCCGAGCACCTCAAATTGCAGGAAACCTGGAACTTAATTCCACCTCAGCAAGGCTCAGCCCATCAAAAAGCATTTTGCCTACTTAGCTCCAGCTATCCCTGTTTAAGGACCAGAATTCATCACACTTCTTTGCATGCTAGCAACTTCCATTGCCAAATCCAGCCTCAGAAACCCAGCCCTAGCCCCTTCTGTGGCTTCAACCACAATCTCACCAGCCTTTTCCCCCAAAGCATTCTTCCCTATTGCTGCCAGTTCTTACAGAAAGGAGCAGTCAACTGACCCTAATTTCAGTGACACGCTACGCCAGCACTTGCACACAGAACAAAAAGAAATGACAAGTGGACTCGTGGCAGACCTCACCTGCTTTCCAATGCTTTTTTATGCTGTGTTGTATCAAACTCTCAGGTACTTTTGCTCCACCAAAATCCACCCTGACCTCTCAGAAATTAACAGCAACTCCGTATCATCTCTGTGCCATCCTGGCCACACACCACACACCCAGTCCATCCCCTTGGGCTGTCCCAGTGCCCATCACAAGCCACTTGCTTGTGGAAGCACCAGCTCTTACCTTGCTCTCAAGACTTTGATGATTCATCAGTAAATGTTTTATGGGGCTTTATAACTCCATCCCAAACAAAGTTCCTTTCCCAGCATCACACAGCTCACTCTATGCAGTACCAACAGAGGAGTTAACGGCACTGACCTGCGCTTGGGCTGTGGAGACTTTGCATCATTTAGGGGAAACACACAAACAAAACAACTTATCACATAGAAAGACGAGGGAAACACAGAAAGACAAGGGAAAAGCTACATGGGACTTTTTTGGACCTTCTACCCCTGACTTAACATCAACATGCACAAAGCGTATTGTTACAGGCACAAACAGGAAAAAAAAGTCAAACTCAGAGCAGACACGTGGACTTACAAAACTACACTTTTCAAGCATCTGAATAGCCACAGATCCAATCCATCGTGATCCCCTAATCTGTCTCCCATCACTGACAGAGATGCCAGATGCTTCAACAGAAGCTCAAGAAATTCCGCTGCTGGCAGACAGGATAAGCTGCTCTCATGGGAAGTTCCCTCTGAGCCTCACATCCCAGGGACTGGCTTAAGCTACAAAGCACAGACATTTACATCTTTTCTAAAGCCCCACATTTGTCTCTTTAGTATTTGCAAAGTTTCGTACACTTCTGGATACTCCTGCCATTGACAGAAATTGTTTTGGATGCAGTCAGCTCCGTGCTTCCAGAACGCTCTGGCAAACAGTCCTTCAATCTAATTACGTATCTCAGAAAAACAAACCAATGCGACTGCATGCCTGCTTGTTCCTGCGTGATAAGGAGGAAGGTTCTTGGCCTATCTTCTCTATAGCACCCATCTGCCATAAGGCACTGCCCTGTGGAAGAGATCATAGAACCACAGCATGGCCTGGGTTGCAAAGGAGCACAACGCTCATCAGTTCCAACCCCCTGCTGTGTGCAGGTCGCCAACCAGCAGCCCAGGCTGCCCAGAGCCACATCCAGCCTGGCCCTGAATGCCTGCAGGGATGGGGCATCCACAGCCTCCTTGGGCAGCCTGTGCCAGTGCCTCACCACCCTGTGTGTGGATATCCTCATGACCAGCTTGACTGCACTGCACAAAGGGCTGCAGAAGAGCAGAACCACGGGACTGCACAGCCACAGCAACAGCTCTAAGAGGGAAAGAGAAACAGGCCTTGTGGGCATATTTTTAGCAAGAAAAGAGATGCTATCAATTCAATCTTTTTTTTATGCTAAACAAGCTTTCAGAGTTGGAAAATGTTTTCATAATTAAGGAGCGCAGTTAAAATGTTTTACCTACAACAGCTAAATAACCATTCCTCCACACTGCCTGAAACCAAAACATTCCAGCAGCAAGAACCTGAAAGTGAAGCTGACAAATTATTTCAACTCTTTAAAGCAAGAGAAATACAGAAAAAATAACAAAAACCATCACAACACGGAGCGTGAGTAATACCATCAGATTAATATCCCTGTGCTTTAGGAGCAATATTTAATGTACGCAGACACATTTGTTTGCTTTCAAGTTTAGGGGAGTTCTTTCCCATCATCAGTTCTACGCCTTTCTAATAGTTTTTCCATCTGCTGGGGCTGTATTTATCCCACTGTCATCATTATACAGTTTCATTTACTGATGGAGCTGGTGCGAAGACCTGCACGCTTTATTTTCTGCGCAATGGACACTTAATGTAAACAAATAAAGGCAACTCTACACTCCATTTTGTTATTATTTTTTCTCCACGCATGGAAAGCACCAGATCCACGCCATGTATTTATCCAACACCTGAAATCACGAGCACATCACACACAGAAGAACAGCTGACAAACCCTCCTCATGCTGCAGGAGCACGGGAAGCTGCACATCACAGAACAGAAGTCAAACTAAGGAACAAAGTTAATTGTTCCCTTCCGGGCTGATCCTGATTGCCCGCTGCCTGTTCCACACATGAGCACAGCATTAGGGAAGTGGCACGAAAGTGAGTTCCATCTGTGTCTCTGGATGCTGAGGCTGCTTCCCAATACAGCACAGCTGCTGAGCACATTTTGTACATAATGCCCCAAACCAGATGCATTTCAGTGCAGGTCAGCAAGACTCAAGTTCCTGGAGGTAATAAATACACACTTATAATAAGCACACACTGTGCTATTACAGAGAAACCAGAGGAGCTACAGCCATATCTTGTGCTGCATCAATAACTCCAGGCCGGGTCTGTTTGATAAAACAAGTCATCCCGACCAGGTGAGTTATCAGCACTACAACCTGCCACAGAAGGATGGATTTTACAACTCCATGCAGAGTTCGCACATTAAATATGGAAGACAGTTGATTGCAATAACGTTAAAGTAAGGCTGTTGCTCACAGGGATGATTAGACAGCCAACCTGTTAAAGCTTCTTGAGAGATAAGACAGACTCCTGAGTATCAGATAAGGAGGGGCTGGAGCTGGAGCTCAGTGCTGGGAAGCACCAAGCTGAGGGGCAGCGAGGTGGAGCGGGCACAGCAAGAAAGCAGGCTGCATCTGCAGCACCCTGGTTGCTACCAGAGTGAGGAAAGGGTCCTACCTGCAAATATTCATACAGCGTGGAACCAGGATTTGGTGAACCACCACATCCCCAACACAGCAGTCTGAGCTTGAGTTCTTGTACCTGGCTGCAGATTCAACCTCAGCACGGTTTTGGAAGCAGCAGCCAAGCAGGGCCGAACCTCAAATTTTAGCTCAGCCTCAGATTTAAATATTACATTAAAACCGTTTACTGGGATCTCAGGCGTCCAAGGTGGGAGTAGAACAAGACAGAGGTGTGACTGGGAGTACCTGAGCAGGCACGTGGTAACACATCAATAAATCACGAACATAAATCAGACACGAGAAACAAACAGATAATTACTGCAAATAATCTGCTGCATGCAGCTAGCGTGCTTCATAGCGGGCGAGGAAAGCGCTCTCTGTACTAAAGAGCTTAGGTTTCAGCTGAGCTATAAACCAGAGATTTGTCCACCATCCGGCCACCAGCTCTGCACGAGGGTCTGTCTCAGAGCAGCACAACAGCCCTCTGTTCAGCTCCATCTAAACCCGCACATGCCGTTCCCCAGCTCGTTCACTGCTGCTTTCCCCGGAGCATTTCAGAGGGAAACAGAACGCCTCACAGCACAAATCCTGCTAAGGTAGCACACGGATCTACCAGGAATTCTCCCCGCAGCACTGGGGACCTCATGGGATGCTCTGTTCTCACTTCCATGGCGCCATTCCTTCCGAGGCCTCTGCTGAGGCCGTGTCCTTCCAGGGCTGCCTTCCTTCCTCACCCCTCAACACGCGGATGGAGGCAGCTCACCCCGCTCCCCGCTATGGGGGAACACCAAACTTCCCCATCCATCCTCACCGAGCTAAGAAAGGGAAACCGGAACAACAAAGTGCCTCAAACCACACGTGAACGAATGTGATGCATGGAACCCAGGAGGGAAAACACCACAGAGAAATCCACGCGAGGGGGGCTGACCTGGGAAAAGGCCACAAGGAGCCACTGGTTGCTTTGGGCACACAGCGCACGGCTGGCCTGGCTGTGTCCCATGTCCGTGTGTCCCGTGTCCTTCTATCCCATGTCCGTGTGTCCCATGTCTGTGTGTCCCGTGTCTTTCTATCCCATGTCCGTGTGTCCCGTGTGTCCCTCAGCCTCAGACCACTGTGATGGGACAGCCCTGACGTTCCCTCTGCTTCACATCATCCAAAATAAAACGAGTAACCCCAATAAAAAACAGATACGGATATTCACGTATTTACAAAGGAAAACCTTTTTTTTTTCCCCCCCCCCCCCCCCCACCCCCCGAGAAAAACCCATCCATTCCTATCACAGCACGACTCCACACGCAGAACTCTCCCGGCCCCGCAGCTCCGTACCCACCTGCCCACGGCGGAGCTCCGCCCGCAGCCCCGCGCTGCGGCAGCCCCCGCTCAGCCCGGCCGCCCGCTCTGGCAGAGCCCCGGGAAGCCGCTCACCTCCGCCGTTACCTCCGCCGTTTCCCCGCGTCGTCTCCGCAGCTCCGCCGCGGGGTTCAGCGCGCTGCTCGGCTGGCTATCCGCGGCCGGCAACGGCAGCCAGCGCGGCCGCCACCTGCCAGGGCAGCGCCGGCAGCTCGGCTCTACACCGCTCGGCTCGGCTCGGCTCGGCTCCGCTCCCCCCCCAGCCGGCCGCGGGCTGCCGGGAGGGAGCGGCGCGTCCCCCGCGGGCGCAGGGCGGGCTCACTTCGGCAGGCGCTCCGCAACGGGCGGGAAAGAGGGAGGGGCGAGCGCCGCCCGTGAGGAGTGCCCGCGAGCCCGCGCTGCGCCTCGGCCCCTCACGGCTGTGTGAGGCCGCGGCTCGGCGCCGCGTTCAGTCCGGGCTTCCCGCTCTCAGAAAGGCAGCGAGGCCCTGGAGCGTCCAGAGAGGGGCGGCGACGCTGTGAGGTGCAGAATCTGGCATCTGGTTCGAGGCGGCCCCCGTTACAAAGTGGAGCGTGGAAGGGTCGGGAGCAGCCCGCGGTGTGCCTTCACGGCTCACACAGCCGGCCGGCCCTGGGCTGCATCGACGCTGGACTTGGTGATCTGGAGGCTCTTTTCCAACCTGAGCAGTTCTGTGATTCTCAAAGCGGCGTGGCCAGCAGGTCAGGGAGGTGACCTGTACCTCTGCTCAGTGTGGAGCCCTCGGTACAGGAGGGACACGGGGCTGTTGGAGTGATCCAGAATAGGGTGACAAAAATGATCCCGGGGATGGAACGCCCCTCCTGTGGGACAGGCTGAGAGCTGGGGCTGTTCAGCCTGGAGAAGAGAAGGCTGTGAGGTGACCTGATGGTGGCCTGTCAGTATCTAAAGGGGAGCTACAGGAAAGAAGGAGACAAACTCTGATGGTGGGGTCTGTGGTGACAGGACAAGGGGAAATGGCTTCAGGCTCAGGGAGGTTGGATTTAGGTTAGATGTAAGGAAAAAATCTTTTTCAGTGAGGTGGTGAGGCACTGGAACAGGCTGCCGGAGATGTGATTAATGCCCCGTCCCTGCAAGGCTTTCAAGGCCAGGCTGGATCAGGCCCTGGGCATCCTGACCTAGCTGTGGTGTGCCTGTGCACTGCAGGGCAGTTGGACTTGATGGCCCTCAGAGGTCCCTTCCATCTCTAAGGATTCTAGCATTCTATGATCTGGAGCAGAGGAGGCTCAGGAGAGACCTCATTTCTCCTCACAGCTCCTGGCAGGAGGTTGGGGCAAGAGAGAATCAGCCTCTGCTCCCAGGGAACAGCAATGGGATGAGAGGTGACGGCTCACGCTGTGCAGGGCAGGGCAGGCTGGGTGCTGGGGGACATCTCTGCTCCAAAGAGCGCTCAGCACCGCACAGCCGCCCAGGGGTGGGGGGTCAGCATCCCTGGGGGTGTTCAGAGCTGTGGGGAGGTGGCACTGAGGGATGTGGGCAGTGGGCACAGGGGGTAGGATGGGGTGGGGTTATGGCTTGAAGGCTTTTCCAACCTGAGTAATTCTGTGGTTCTAGGACACGTGGCCTTCAGAATCCCAGCTCTTGGCCCCTGGCAAGGCAAAAGACACAGTGACACAGCAGCAAGGCAGTGGCATCACAGTGACATGGCAGCAGCAGGACGTCCCCTTGGAGGTACACACAGCTCAACACCACCCTGAGGCAGCGCGGCTGCAGCAGCAAACAGTGCAGCTTGCCTTCAGGGTGCAGCCGTGCAACAGGGCTGGTCACTGTACCCCACACATCTATGATGTGGAGGCTTGGAAGAAGTCATTTCGTGTGGGCTGGCTACAGCAGGAATGTGTGTTTGATCTTAGCAGTGTTGCTAGGTCTCTGAATGTTTGAGGTCTTCATCAAAGGCCTGGCTTCCAAAATAGTCTAATGTCAGTTAGTTCACATTTTGAAAAGAGTAATTTTCTTGCCCTCATAGTTGAGGAGTAATATTTAACAGTCTTAAAGGAGCAGCTCCAACTCCCCAAAACCTCAGAATCCAGAATACAAAAATGAAATGCATTCATTGTAAAACCTTTTGAATTACAAATTAAATTCACTATTTGTAGAGGACACAAACCCTTAATTTCAGGGAGTAATGACTGCAGTCTCTGAAATCTGAACAGAAAGCTGCTGTTTAATTCGTGCTCGAGGACTATCTCATCACCCAGTGTCCCACTGATTCAGGGCAGACTGCACCAGATCTTGATAAACCAGCCTTTATGCAGTGCAGTGCAAGAGAACAATATTGAATGAAAGTTTTGTACCACAATCATAAGGGGGAGTTGGAGGGGGGGAAGAAACTGCATGAAGAGCTATTCATTGCCTTGTGGTGAAATGAAGAGTTAATAACCACTTGTTAGATTTCCATAGAATACCCTTATATAGCTTTTAGCACACACAAGATGAGTTACAGCAAAAAATTCATTTTTTCACTCTTCTCCTTTCTTGAAATTTATTTCTGTACATCTAATATATAAAAAAAAAAAGTGTAAGACTGCTGATAGGTGTCATTCAAATGATGATTCAGGTATGTGCTGCATTTCCTTCATTACTTCACATCACAAACAAGATTACAGAGATGGGCAGCCACCATGCTGGAATGGCAGGATTTTTAAAGCAACTGTAAAGCATTTCTCTGGAACCGTTTCACACCTTTACAGTTTATCATCTCATCCTTTCCTTTGCCAATAAAATACTGTTCTCAACATTTCCTAGCCTGTCAGGGCTGCAGCCTCATAAAAGAAAGATTGGCACCACTTTATCTGGGACAGCTCTTCCTGATGTGCCCAAAGCAGCCTGTGTGGCAGTGCGTGCAGCAGCTCTGCTTGAGACTGAGCTGTTGGTGTGAAAGCCCTGGGGTGGCTTACAGCCACATGCACAGCCCCACATGGACGGACACAGACCCTACAGTAGGGAAAACCTCTGCAGTTTTCAGAAGGAATAAGGCATACAAGTCCCAGCTGCCTCCCAGAAGCCAAGCTAAGCCAGCGTCAGATCTGATCTAACCTGCCGTGCAGCGTAAGGCACTGCGTATCACCAGCTTCCTCCTGCTCAGAATTGTGCATTTGACCAAAGCATATCCCCCAAAGTCACCCAGCCTGGGTCAGAAGATTGGACGTCAGAGAAGTCACCACTCAGCAGGCTGTTTCACTGGGTGCTCACTAACAATGACAAAATGCACACTTAATGCACTGATTCGAACTTCTCTGACTTCAGCTTACAAGCAGTGCTTCTTATTTTGCCCTTCCCTGCTGAACCAACAACTCTTTTGTAGTATTTAACATGCTAATCAAGCTATGGTTTAATCCTCTTTCTGATAAAATAAACAGATCAAGCGCTTCAAATTCATTACAATGGTGTTCTTCCACTCCTCAGATACGTCTTTTTGTGCTTCTTTCCAGGCCTCTCAAAACATGTAAATACCTTTTACAGAATGTGTGCTGCAAGACTATTTGTAGTGTTCTGATAACTGCCTTATCGTTTCCGTAAACCACTTTCTCACTCTCACTCCCAGGACCCTACTTGCACACAAAAGGATCACGTCAGACTTCAAATAAAGTTTTTGGCTACACACAGGAGTAGAACCAAGGTGATTTTTCCCTCTGGATGCTGCCTTGTGCAGAGAGTCACACATAAAAATTCATTCGTGGCAAGAAGTTAAATCTTTGATTGTTGGTTATATAGCGTTTAGGAAAGTCATCTCTAAGTTCTGCTGAACTACGAAAGCGCAGAGCATATCTAAGTCAGGACAGGACAAGTAAAACAGCTCAAATGGCTGAAAGTCAGCCTTGTCTGCTGGACTACAAAGCCAAGAAAACAGGCATGTTGCTGTCAGGCCCCCACAGCCTTCAGACAGCGGGTAGTGTCTTCTAATTCCCTGGCAACGAGGCACATCAGTAATCCTGATTCAGGGAGTGATCTGCAAACAGCGACACAGACGCAGCGTGCCTCTGGACAGAAGGAGCTGGCCATGGCAGCCATCACCAGGACACAGAGAGCTGGCCATTCTCCTGCCTTCACAGATCTCGGGCTTTCTGGCACCCCATTGGAAACTCAAATGCTGATAGCAAAGGCCGTCATGGGGAGGATGAAAGTAAGAAATTTCTTAGAGCTCGTGCTGCGATCATATCACAGGCTGTTATTCTTATCTTCCTCTCCAGAATCTGCCAAGTCTACTTGGAGAACACATCCATGGCATGAAGATATTTCGCCAGCCCTGAGTGTTCATGATCTCAGTGGAACAGAACACAGAGCTGCAAAGTGTACTGCTGTTCACCAGATACCACTCGTGAACACAAACATGTCATTGTGAGCACTAAACACCCTGCAAGGCTTAAGACTAAGAAATCTGACTGATAGCCTGCCAGCTTACTGAAAAGTTGAGTATGATTTAGGTAGACCAGCATGATACAGTCGGTGCTTTTTGTTACTCTCTGCAGAATCTAGCTAATCCTCAAACACACATTAGCAGGCAAATCCTGAAGATCCCCCCTGGGCCCCGTCATGTCACGCATGTCACGTGCAAGGCCAAACCTTCCCATTCCTGTGCTGTCCCCCGCAGAGCTGCCCAAAGGCCACCTCCCAACATCTCTCTGAATCTGATCTTCACAAATTTAGACCAAGGTGTGGAGATGAGACAGCCTAGGGGCGGCGATGAGGTGATCTCCTCCTTAGTAGGTAGGAGGGAGGCATCTGTTCTCATTCTCCCGTGTCGCTTCATGTTTAAGCTGTAGCCCTGGGATCCCGCTGCCTTCCACGCACAAACTGCCAACATAATTACTCAGAGGCTTCAGATGCTGTCTGACAGGGGGCATCCACTTCACAGTAATAGGACTCATTTCCTCCACAGCTGGACCCCTCGCTAACAGGGTCCCCTGCTAATCAGTGCCCTGAAATCTGATGATGCACTCGAGTGCAGTGATGTGGAGATGATGCACAAGTGGTCAGTTCCGCAGCAAGCCGAGACTATTTCTGGCTGTGCTGCTGCACTGAGCTCACACTAAGCAGGGCCTGAGTAATGCTTTCCGTCATCCGCGGGTGATGACTTACCATGTCTGCCCCTTTCTGGAGTGG